ATATATATATATATATATATATATATATATATCTACACTTAGACATACATTTTTACAAGTAGATACCAGAAACGCGATAACATATCTAAAGCTACATTTTAAAATGTTGTCTCCGAGGAATATTTTTATCGATACACTATTTAGATACATTACGTGCATCATACATTCCAAGTAAAGTTTTGTATGGAGGGGACGTTTTAGAATGTAGCCTAAATATATTCTAATAACTTCGTTATCTTTCTTATAACATTCAGCAATAAGTAGTATTTCTTCCGAGAATAGTTACATATGTAGTGACATAGCAGAAAAAAAAAATTTTTAATTATGATCGATGTTCATAGATTTTACTAGATAATGAATAAATCAAACATGTACATATTTATATTGTAAAAAAATTTGTCATTTCTTTTCTTAAATTTATTTTTATCATTAAAAAAATTCTCAAAGAATTCAAAATATATGTTAAGGCAATTAAAATGAGCAAAAATGAGTCAATGAATTAAAGTCGAATATTCGAAAAATATTGAGAGTTGGAAAACATTCAAATAAAAGTTAAGAGAAAGAAAATAACGTATATATAAAATTTTGTCTGTTTTTAACTATTTACAATGAAACTATCTTCTTTTATTTTTAGTAAAAGAATTCGATCTATTTTTTGATAATGTAATATTAATACTATTATAATATATATTAACATTAATAACAAGCATCCGATGTCATACACACACACACACACACACACACACACAATCTTATATTTTTATTTCTAACAAACAAAAAAATATTTTTTATGTTTATAATATTAAAATTTTAATTTTATCAGAACTTGTATTAATAGAGTAAATAAAATTGTACTTTATATTTTTTCTATGTTATATTGTAATAAAGGAAAGTCACCGACTCAGTTATTCAATAATAATAATTATGATTTAAGAGACAAGAAATACCACGTAGAAAGTAACAATCTTGAAATCAAGAATCTGAATTTCTTTAAATAGATATTAGATTTTTGTTTTATTGTACTGCTTCCTTAAAACAAGCTGTTTGAATTTGTAAATTGGTTTATTAAAATTAAGCGTCCATATGATACGTGGTCTCAATACAAAATATACGCGCTATACGTAAGAAATAAACGCCCAGCCTCTATATTCTTTAATTCGTTTATATGTCAACGTTATGTGTTCATAATGATAATTGCACTGATATTTCATACTCGTATAATAAAAAGCAAATATCTTTACGAACACACAACGACTGCATAACAAGTTACATATATTGTGCAATAAGCCGTTACTATAGCTTTAATAAGTCTTGAGGCGTAAGAAATTGATCAGTTATAGTTGAACATAGAAAGAATTTTTTTTATATGCATACAAAAATATGTTCTCGTTACAACTGTCGTTTGCATAAAAATTCGAAATCATGCGTATATTATGAACGAATCGATTGGAGTAGCAAATAAAGCAAAGCTAATAAATTTTACAAGACTTAATAGATTATTATACCTATTAAATTTAATTATTTGTTTAATAAATTATGTTTTATTAAAGACTTTTTAGAGTGAAATTCCATTCTGAATAAAAGAATTTAGAGAATAGAGATTTGTAAAATAATGGGCGATTTTATCAAACATTTTAGACTGTTAATTTTTTTCGCCTTTTCGTTATATGTTCAACGATTATAACAAAATCGTGTAATATTGTAATTAATTAGAAAACAAAAGTTTGAATATTAATGATGGCATTAGACGATATACGAATTATATTTTTATGATGATATTGATGACGCATATATATATATATTCTTTAAAATGCAAAGTATTTTTTTTTTAAACAATTAATTAATACAAAAATTTTAGAATATGTTTGCATAACAGCAATTAATAAAAAAAGCTGAGGTATGCATATTCAATGCGCAACACGATTTTTAATTAATGTATGTTAATGCGACGTTCAATTAATAAACCATTAAATGTAATTGTAAAAATAGTTTAAACGATGTCAGATGGTTTATGTAATGAAACAGAAAATATGCAATGATAATCAAATAAAATTAATTTATAGAAAAAAGCATTTGAATATTTTTTCGAACATTACATTTTCGAACAAATGTAGTGGCATTATTCATGATATATAAAGTCTGTTTTCTATGGCTGAACTAGTGTATGCTTTTGGAATTTAAAGTGAAATAAGTACATATTTGACATTTGACGAAAGTAAGAAAGAGACTTAGTATTGTTTAATGTAGAAATTTTTAAAAACAGTTTCATTTGTTTTAAGACGAATATGATGCGTATAATAATTTAGAGAAATCGTATTTCAAAAACTGAAAACATTGATTAGATTGAGAAATTGTTCATTTTCCGGCACTAGGAAAATGTTTCAATGCGTACAATGTCATATCCAGCAATTTTAGTATGGCAACACTTCTCCTCGTCATATATAATACGGGTTAAATAAATTAAAAAGTTCCTCTACCATCATGTAATTTTCTCTGTATGACTGAAATCTGAAAATGGAAAAAATTTGATAATTTTAATGAAAAAAGTTGTTACTTTTACATATGTGGCATATAGAAACAGTTACATAACTTTTGATAAAATAAAAAATTACTCTTTTTTTTAAAACATTTAAAAATATTATTTTAATTATAAATATAATATTTAAATGTTATTTTATTATTTAAAAATGTTGCATTCCTCCGGATACTGGTACACTCCCACCGTCACTGAAACTGCTTTGTCTAGGTCTATATTCTACAATCGAAGAACTTTGCGTCGAAGTTCTTGGTATTTCGCTAAACCTTGGTACATCCTCATCGTCACTCGAACTGCTTTGTTCAAACCTGTATTTACATATTAAAAAGACAGAAACTATTACGTATTATGTAAAAAACCGGAAAAATGCTATAAAATATACAATATTTTAAATTCAAAGAGTACATCCTACTAAATTATCAAATCTAAATTTCTATTTTTTGAATTCAGCATTGACATTATCACTTCGGTAATATATTCATTTTTAATTTATTTTGCTTTATATTTGTATAAAATTAAGATCTTTGAAATTGAATATTGAAATATAATGCTGTAGAAACTAAATCACATAATGTAATATGCATATGTTGACAAATATACTGTTAAGGTATTTGATCAGAAATATAAAGTCCGATATTTAAAGCAATTTAAATTGAACAAAGAAGTTAATACTTTGCCATTTTGCACATTTTCCGTACTAATTAATAAGAAATTAATAAATTAAGATAAATTCCGTTTACTGGGCCCATTTCAGATAGCAAATGGTAATATTGCACATTATACATAGATGTTAAATACGCACCAGTTTCGTTAAACACGAAGTAATCGCAATCGTCGCTTATTAGCGCTTTCTTCTTTGCTCTTATATACATTCGTTATTGAATCTATCATAACATACATCGAATGTGTGTGTGTAATATAAAACTAAAAATTATTGCTATTTACAATACTTCTTGCTTATATTTTACATAAAAAATATGACGAGGATGATATTACGTAAAAAATTTGTAAAATTTGTAGAAATAAAAGAAGTTTAACTATTTAAAATTAGTATGGAAGTTAATGTATGTGTGTGATGTATGTGCGTGTGTGTATGATTTCAGCTATTTTTACCTCTTATATCTTATTCTGGTTTTGTTACTGGTAGATTTTGTAACAGTAATTTACTGACGCCTACAATTGTCTATTGTATTTATATTTATGTTAACTATAGTCTATTATATCATACTTTATATCTATTACTCTGTTAACATGTAGTCTTTTTCATATATCATTGCATATATCATTGCAATAAATTAAATTAAATTACATTAAATTAAAAATTTTGCATCAAAAACATTTATAAATCTTGCAACCAAAACATTTATTTAATAAAAAACAAAA